CAACTCATCGGCTGGTGTACACATGTACAAAATAAAGAAAAGAAAAATAGTTGGACGTATATATTTTATGGAATCAAATTATATTTCTGAAAACAGAAAGACGAGCATGGAATGTTCTCAACTGATTGGTTTAAAAAGGTATATCTTAAACACTGTCATTGAAGACTGAGGTTTTCTTTGATTAGCAAAACACCCAAAAAATTTCAAAAGGCATTACTAAAATCCGCAAGATGTTTGATTTAGTCCTACATTTTTCTGATTTGAGAAAATAAGGGTGTGAGTTGATAAAAATTTCCCATCAATATTCAATCCAACTCAAAATTTAACTCAAATTTAATTCAACTCAACTATCCTCAATATTATCAATATAATTAAATTATATCAACCAATCATTCTTACATACCACATCAACTTTAATTTACTATTCATCAACTCGCATAATTTTAACTAATCATCACTTCACATCATCTCTCTTCTACTTTAATTATTTTATTTTAAATATTATTTTAATACAATCAAAATCCCACCAACAATTATCAATACCACATTGTTTAATTTAATCATGGTTAACCAAAAAAAAATCCATTTTGAGTGGATATTTTTATATCCAAGCACGCTATCATCGGAAGTCAGAACACTTTGTACTTTCGGACAAATATTCAAGCAAACCAATAAAATTATTACTTGACCAAACACCTCATGCATATTCATTGTAATTTTTAGAACTTCTCATAGGCTTTTCGGTAAATATATCATCATAAAATTAAGTACCTTGACTACCAGCCGAGCAGCAAGTTCGGCAGGCAAACCACGACACGATTTAGCAGCAACTTCTGATGAAAGCGCGTCCCATATGCCATCCGAGGCTATTATGAGCCGTCCACCTTTACTCGATAGCTTCATCGTGAATTGTTGATGAAATACAAGTCAGTGATTCAAACAGAACTGGCTTCACGTAAAGCAAAAGCTGACAAACTATATGATTTCTCATTGAGAGCTATGTAAAATGAACTTATCATAAAAATGCATAATTACATAGACTATCCCTGTGGGTTTGAATTAAGTACAAAAAGACCCAGAAAAAGTTAGATATACAACAAAATAACGCTTCAGGTTTGGTTTTGCATGGCCAATTTTAATATATTTTGATCAATGGAAGGGAGGTTTTATTTATTTTTTTATTTTTTTCTTTATGGAAAGGGGAAAACATGAGAGAAAAAAAAATCATTTGTCAAGAGTTTTCTTTCGCTTAATACTTGAAATTTCTATGGACTTATTTTGTAGATATTACAAATCTTCAGGGTGATTCTTGAACTATTTCTAATAAAAAAAAAAATTAAAATTTAATATCCATACCTTCACTTGCTTGACATAAGGTATCGGAACAATAAATTCGCCCACATCCATGTCCCCAATTGACCTGGAGAGACATAAACCCCCTGGCCAACAACGTAGAGGACCCACCTACCAAATTAGTCCAAAAGTTACATCACATTATGAACACAAAAGATACTTTTGAAGCAAACTCCAAGGTTTTCCTATGCATTGGCAGTTTAAAGATCATATGAGAATATGGATCAAGTACCAAAGGAGCAAAAAATCTTTCAAACATACACATATCCCAAAACATATGAGTAATTATGTAATTAGTTTAAGGGAACTCACCCCAGTCCCTCCAAAAATGTTAAGCCTTCCAACTTCACCTCCACTTGCAGTTACGCGCTCTCTTCTGCAGTTTTAAAGGCAAAAGAAAAACATTTGGGTTAACCACAAAAGCTACATTTCATTTTTACCCCGATAGCTAATACAAAAGGTCCATCTATCTTTTATGATTACTTTATGAATAACCCAGCTCTGGAGTGTCTACTTTTATATGTAAATTAAGATAGAACCCAATGGAAAGGGTATACATAATTTTAAAACATAACTGGGTAGATTTTTTTTTTTAATTAGACAGACTAGACCTCAGGGTAAACTTTGTGATTAATGATAATTTTTTCCCATGGGAACCAGGAAAATAAAAAAATAAAAAAAAAAAGGTGAAGAAAGAAACTAACTCCTCCTCATTTTCTTCAAGCCTATGATCGACGGTCAAGATAGAGACAGCTCCACCCTCAGAATCTAAAATGCAACGGGAATCACCAACAGAGGCAACTGTTACCGTCCAACCGTCAATTATCACAAATGTTGCAGTTGTTCCAGAAGTTTTTCCTGCTCATTATAAAGGATAAATGGGGAAAAAAAAAATGTCAGCATTCTAAGTATGCCATGAGTTATTATCTAATGGTAGATGGAGTAAAGTACGAGGCAGTGCCTTTGCTTTGAAACTCTTTGTCTGTTTTGACAAATCCGGAAACTAAAGCCCGAGGTAATGCGTGAAGCCATTCTTCCCTTTCAAGCCCACTTGGAATGGCATCCAAAACGTAATTTAAGAGATGGTCTCTTGAGAAAATTGCTGCGGCATTTCCATTGTGCCCATCAAATATCTGCAAAATGGGGTACGTTTAATAATTAGCCATTATTTAAAAAAAATGACATAACAAGAAATCGTCTATATGGTGCCAACGTGATTTTATGCAATCATTTCAAAAGAAAAGTGATTGCGAGTATATTAAGTGAAGAAAGTAGTTTTAAATGACAAAGTAGGCTTATGACTGCATGATATTACCAGAATCTAGAAACAAAAGAAGAATGCTCGCAAATTTCAAATTCCTCTGGATTTGACTTTTAAGCACATATTAAACCAGTTTTAAAATATTGACCTATCAACTTTTTTGCTTCTACAAGGAAATGCTTCTAATTTCTGATTCTCAGCTAATTTTCATTTGTGCAACAGCAAACGACTTCCTCCAAAAGCAGACACAAGAAAAAAGTCCACCTAACAATATTCTAAACTATTTAACAGAACGTGGACTCAATAACCATAGAAAAAAGCAGTTTCCATATTCCAGATATGCATAAAATTGATTTTTTATTTTTTTTTTCTTTCCCCTCACTGAAATAAAAGCAAATGAGCATAAACAACCAGGCAGCAACAATGAGAAAACAAAACAGCTGAAATATCAGAAAGTTGAAAGAAGTGGTGACATACTCCAAAAACAGAAAAGGAAGTCGATGGATCTTCAGGAATTCTATGGCAATCGGTCTTGATCAAGAAATAATCTTCACCTTTCCTAGATTGAATGGCAGAGCCATATCTAATTATTGGCTTCTCCTTTTTCTCATTCTTCAGCTCTCTACTGATTAGTGTAGCCAATGGCACCAGATCGTGATGATGACGATTACGCCTTTCTTCATTCGATCCCATTTCCAAGTCCCACAGAGCTTTCACCTTCCAAGAACTCCCAACTTATACTAAAAATTACACTGTTTCATTTCAACAAACCCAAAACTACATCCACATCTCACCATTTTCCATCATCAATAACCACTCCACAAAATGGAATAGGCTAGCTTTGTATACCATAAGCCTACGAAATTCCCATGACTAATTCACTTTTCAATCTTCCCTTGAAAAGTGATTTATGCCAAGAAAAACAAAACAAAAAAAACAGTAATCCCTAGCTAAAGTAAAAGCCAGTAAAGAAAACAATCTTGGGATTTCTACAGAAACCCCAAGTTTAAAACTCTGTGCAAAAGACTGCAAGCACATACAAAATGTACACCAATAACACAAGATCTCAAAAACCCAGAAAGCTACTGAGAGAGAGAAAGAAACAAAAGAACAGCTAGAAAGCAAAAAGAAAATGTAAAGATAAGATTCCAGGAGAAAATAAAAACATGGGATTATAACAAAAGAAGAAGGTTATATTCTTATTGCGTGTACTATGTTTTTTTTTTTTTTCTTCTTCGTTTATTTTATTTATTCCTTCAGAAACAAAGAATGCCCATATGCAGATCTGATGGCGACTGGAAAACCAAACAAATCCACACAAAATTGGAGTAATAAAGAAGGAAGGAAATTTGAATAGGAAAACTTGTAAAATATCGACACCGAAATAAACCAAACGCGGATTGATGACAGGGAATGAACTGTAATTGCGAGACCCACCGATAATGAACAACTCTTTCTTAACTTTGATTTTTAATTTAATGACTAATGAAAAAACATTCTTTAACTAAATTACGCAACCAGATTGAATATTAAATGGGGACATACAGATCAGAAAGCCAGACTGACAGATATTTTTTGGGCAAATATATATAAAAAGCTTACAACAAGTGGCAATAATGCTAATTGATTGAAATGTATAGCATATCATTTTTTTTTTCCTTCCGAACGTTGGTGATCCGCATCATTGATTCATTTCTCAAGTTAATAGAGCATAGAAGAGCTTGAACCTAAATGTGTAGCTCGAATAGGTCGAGGTAGTATCCACTGGATGGTAGGTCGAGTTATAGACCTTTGACTTGGATGACCTGAAGAATTGATCATCAATTGAACTTCGACGAGCTATCATAGCTAAAAAGGGTTGTCTGGGCTCGACTTAAGGAGTTGGCAGAGGCTTTGAATGCATGACACCTAACGAAGGCATGATTATTAAGATTCGAGATATATGGAAAGCGATCTATTAGAAGAAGTTATGTTTGTGTCGGGTTTCCTTACGGAAATAGAACTCTTGAAAACAATGCAATTAATCTCGGTGTATGATCATTACGAGTTTACGTATTGTTTTATAACTATCAGATACTTATCATATATGAGGGATTGAATTGATAGTCGGAAGCTCTATGTCTAAAATCCTCCCAGTGCTTTTTCAGGTACTCAGGCAAGAAGGTCAATCATGATTCGAAGATTCAAAGAGAATTAGCTACCCAAAATCGTAGTTATTTGATATATCTTTATCAAATTGGCGTCGTCTGTGGAGAAACTCAGTTCTAATACGGATTAGCGGTACTGCGTTTTTTCTTCTACAATCCATACAAATTTGCTAACATCAATGGCTGAGAAGGAAGGACCTAACGTGGAGAAGGGTTGCAATGAAACATGGTTGGAAAAGTGACCATTGTGGTCGGTCTCACCTTCGGGGTGGCTCATTAGTAGGGAATCACCATGAGGTCCCTCGTCCCCAAGGGACGCGGATACAAGCCCCAGAGGAGTTGATCCAAGAGGGCAAGTTGGAAAACGTGCCCCGCCAGCATTTAGGACCTTCCCGAGTGTTGGAGGTCGTTAAGGAGGATGAGCGGGCACTCACCCATGTGCAGGAGGCAGTCCTTGCTGGTGTGGAAGGTCGGACTAACCCCTCACCTGTTAGAGTAGAATACCCAGCGTTCCAATCAGATCGGATACATTCTACTTGTAAATACAATTTATTGGAATTTATATTAAATAAAAGGCATTACTTTATCTTATGTATTTACATATATTTGGACATATGATAAAGTCCCTAGATCATTAAAAATTATAAGGCATGGTTACGCATTTGATGGTAATCATGGAAGATGTCTTGAAAACTTTGATCTTAAATAAAGTTCCAAGTCGATGGGTATTTCGAGATGGGATATCGAATAACTTGATAAGACTTGCACATATGATGTATGCTTGTTGGACAAGAATGTTGCATTCCATCAACATTAGCATTGGACGCAAATACATATATGTGGATGTTTGTTAGGGAACAAGTTCACTGAGCATGACCGTATGAAAATTCTTAAATGGAACTTTTTATTGTCGAATAAGAATTTTCATGTTGCAATAGTACATGATTGATCCTCTGACTTGAGGCACGATAGTAATCTTATGCATATTGTGCTTTACTTTGATTTGATTCATACAGATGTTTGTAGACCACTAAATGTTAGTGCCAGAGGGAACTATCACTATTTCATAACTTTTACTGATGATTATTCTAGGTATGGTTATGTATACCTATTGAGGTATAAATCTGAAGTTATTGAAAAGTTCAAAGAATTTAGATGTGAAGTGGAGAAACAAACTGGTCATTATATTAAAACACTTCAATCAGATCGAGGAGGTGAATATTTGACTAATGAGTTTCTTGATTATCTAAAGGAGAATGGGATTCTTTCTCAGTGGACACCTCCTTGAACTCCACAACAAAATGGAGTTTCAGAAAGGAGAAATCGAACATTGTTGGACATGGTTCGATCAACGATGAGTTCCACTAATCTACCTCTTTCATTCTGGGGCTATGCCTTAGAAACAGCAGCACATATTTTGGATAGAGTGCTAAGTAAAACTGTGCCTAACACACCTTATGAGATGTGGTGTGGAAAAACACCTTCATACAAGTATATGAAAGTATGGGGTTGTGCTGCTTACGTGAAACAGCAAGTGGGAGATAAGTTGGATATGAGATCCATTTTATGTAAATTTGTGGGGTATCCAAGAGAGTTTATAGGATACTATTTCTATGATCCTTCTGAAAATAAAGGTGTTTGTTTCGAGGAATGCTGTTTTCTTAGAAGAAGAATTTCTTTCTAATAAGAATGACGAGATTATAGAACTTAATGAAGAACCACAAATTATTCCACAAGTTGTCACAGATAATATACCAGTAGAGACTGGAACATCTGAAACACAACCTCTTCGGAGATCCATGAGGGTTTCTAAGGCACCTGAAAGGCTGTACCTATTGTTAAAGAACAATGAAGAGGGACTCTTTTTGGATAATGATCCAATAAACTATAAAGAGGCAATGTCAGACATTGACTCAAATAAATTGCAAGAAGCTATGCAATCCGAAATGGACTCCATGTACTCAAACAAGGTATGGACCTTGGTTGATCCACCACAGGGTATTGTACCTATAGGTTGTAAATGGGTTTACAAACGGAAACGTGGTGTAGATGGAGAAGTGAATACTTTTAAAGCACGTTTGGTTGCAAAAGGTTATACTCAAAAACAAGGTGTAGATTATGAGGAAACTTTTTCACCAGTAGCAATGCTTAAATCCATTCAGATATTATTAGCCATAGTTGTGTATTATGACTACGAGATATGGCAAATGGATGTGAAAACTGCTTTTCGTAATGGAAACATTAAGGAAGACATTTATATGAAACAGCCACAGGGTTTCATATCCAGTGGGTGTGAACAAATGGTTTGTAAGCTTCAAAGGTCCATTTATGGATTTAAACAAGCTTTGAGGAGTAGAAACATCCGGTTTGATGAAACGATCAAAACATTTGATTTTCATAAGAATTCGGATGAACCATGTGTTTATAGAAAGGTTAGTGGGAATGCAGTTGCATTTGTTGTACTCTATGTTAATGACATTCTACTCATTGGGAATGATGTAGGAATGTTGCAGTCAACACGGATATGGATGTCAAAACAGTTTTCCATGAAAGACTTGGGAGAAGCATCTTTTATCCTAGGGATAAAAATCTCTAGAGATAGATTTAAAAAGATGATCGGACTATCCTAGTCTATGTACATAAATAAGGTGCTAAAATGATTTAGCATGGAAGAATCCAAACGAGGATATATTCCAATGAGTCATGGGGTTTCACTTTCTAAGACGATGTCTCCAAAGACACCTGAAGAAAGAGAACGGATGAGTCATATACCTTATGCATCAACTATTGGTAGCATTATGTATGCCATGTTATGTACAAGACATGATGTAGCTCATGCACTTAGTGTAACAAGCAGATATCAGTATAATCCAGGTGAAGAACACTGGAAAGCCGTTAAGATGATTCTTAAGTACTTGAGAAGGACTAAGGATATCTTTATGATATACAGCAATGGAGAATTAAAACTAGAAGGATTCACCGATTCTAGTTTTCAGTCCGATAAAGACGACTCTAAATCCATGTCAGGATACATATTTACCTTAAATGGAGCAGCAGTAAGTTGGAAAAGTTCCAAACAAGAAACAACTGCTGACTCTACAACTGAGGCTGAATACATTGTTGCATCAGATGCTGCAAAAGAAACTATTTGGATACGGAACTTCATTCAAGGGTTGAGTGTAGTATCGTCTGTTGTTGATCCAATAATGATTTATTGTGATAACAATGGGGCTATTGCGCAAGCGAAAGAGCCAAGATCTCATCAAAGATCCAAACACATCTTGAGACGATACCATTTGATTAGAGAAATCACTGGTAGAGGTGACGTCATAATGGATAGAGTCGACTCAGCAGAAAATATAGCAGATTTTTTAACTAAGCCTTTATCACAGAAAGTATTTGAAAGACATCTTGAGAAGATGGGTCTGAAATACATGGTTGATTGGAACTAGGGCAAGTGGGAGATTGTTAAGGAGGTCGTTAAGGAGGATGAGAGGGCACTCACCCATGTGCATGAGGCAGTCCTTGCTGGTGTGGAAGGTCGGACTAACCCCTCACCTGTTAGAGTAGAATACCCAGCGTTCCAATCAGATTGGATACATTCTACTTGTAAATACAATGTATTGGAATTTATATTAAATAAAAGGCATTACTTTATCTTATGTATTTACATATATTTGGACATATGATAAAGTCTCTAGATCATTAAAAATTATAAGTCATGGTTACGCATTGGATGGTAATCATGGAAGATGTCTTGAAAGCGTTGATCTTAAATAAAGTTCCAAGTCGATGGGTATTTCGAGATGGGATGTCGAATAACCTGATAAGACTTGCACATATGATGTATGCTTGTTGGACAAGAATGTTGCATTCCATCAACATTAGCATTGGATGCAAATACATATATGTGGGTGCTTGTTAGGGAACAAGTTCACTGAGCATGACCGTATGAAAATTCTTAAATGGAACTTTTTACTGTCGAATAAGAATTTTCATGTTGCAATAGTACATGATTGATCCTCTGACTTGAGGCACGATAGTAATCTTATGCATATTGTGCTTTACTTTGATTTATCCTTTGATTGCTGGACAATCACAAAAGGGATATTTTGGGTACTGTATTAATATGTATGGAGGTTTATCTGTGGCCAACAAAGAATTCGACACTTATAAAGATAAATGAATACCCTATGTTTTTCATAGTTTGTGATTCAAAGACCTTGGCCAAGACGGGATGAATAGAGATTCATACATGAATTACTAAACTTGAAATTGAATCATAGTTATTAAATCAAATGGGTTTCGACTAAAAACCATACCCAAGATTTAATCGAGAAATTAGTTGTCGAAAG